ACCCGGGGGGGGCGGCGGGGCTCGCTCCGCGCCAGGCGGTCACCGCTGGCGACTTCACCGGGCTTAAAGTAAAGGAGCGGAAAAATCTGGGAGTCCTTCTGGCGGCTGTGGTTTGGTACCCAGTCAGGGGATTAGCTATCACATTGGCATACGTTTTCAAGTTTCTTTAAAATATATGCATGTTTACTATCAGAAAATGGTAAAAAAGTGTTCCCTGTTGCACTATCCAACGTCGCTCTGGAATACGCTTTTTCCGCATTAACATAGCTCCGCATTTACAATCTTTTAACAGTTTGCTAATAGCATCTTGACAGTCTGCACCTATCAGCCCCCTAACCTTTCTTTACGTTCCTCTTTATACTTTCTTTGCAAGTTCCCCCTCCCGTTCCCAAATCATTATTGCAGTTTTTCCTGAACGATTCGTGTTTCTTTTCACAGTCTCTTAGTGTTCTGTGTATGCACATTAACGAGAATCATTTAACAGCTATAGTATCAGCTACTGATCTCACAGCAGATGCTCTCCACTGTCCCCTTAAGTGCTAAAAGCAGGGTAGTCTTGAACCAGTAAAATAAAAATGGGGAAGAAAAAAAATCTGTGCATACTGAGTTTGTGAAAAGAAGGGATAAATACCCAGCTAGGCAGCAGCACAGCATTAAAACTACTAAGTTACAGCACAATCTAATTCCCTTCAGGTCTAGAGTCTCGTTTTAAGAACAAGTCAAGCTACATGCGATACAGTTGTGAAAGCAGAATACGAAGCTACATGAGAGAGGTAACAGTTTCTATTGAAGTCCCTTATTTCCAAGCTGCTAGTAGAAGTAATTCTGTGACCACATATGTATAAAATGATTTTACAGTGCAACATACTGATTGTAGAGGAGGGCCTCAGGCTACAGGCACCAAGGAATGATTGGTTTGGGGTTTTTTTCCTCCCTCTAGGTTAGTGGTTTTACTTCAAATGTTCATCCCACAGCAAGAGATGCATATAAAAGGATAATTGACCTGATGTCAGATAAACTGAAATCCGTGAAATACAACGGGTGCTACTTTGACAGAAGAGCGGAGGAGGCAGCCCGCCTGTGCACGACGGAGGGATGGTTCTCTTGTCAGGTAAGCGCAGCCCTTTCGAAAGCAGAGTGCCCCGGTTCCAGCAAGTACTGGCATGACTTGCAGCGACATTAGAGGAGGGAGATAGTTACTCGGATGCTTGCACAGTGCAGTATGAAGCTTGGCGGGCTGACGCTGGTTAGTTACAGCAAGGGGAAGGGCCGTGCCGGGGTGAGGAGCAGTGCGCCTTTCATCGTAGCCGTCTGGTTTTACAGGGACCTTTCGACAGAGACGACTGCCCATGTAAGCATTCTATCAACCCCTACGGTAACAGGGAAAGCAGAATCCTCTTCAGTACCTGGAATCTCGATCACATGTATGTACAAAGTATTAATCCAAACGTACCTGTTTCATGCCCTTCATCTTAGGCAGGAAAGGGCCAGCCACTGAGTCTTCCCCCCGCACACTGCAGTTATCTCTGCTGTGAACAGGGCGTTGTGATAGAAGATGCTTGGGTGCTGGAGCTGTTTCTGGCAACGTAAACTCCTGAAGGCAGATTAGAATGCTGTCTCATCAGCTGCTCGGCTTCTGTTCAGATGTCCTTTGTGTGGAAACATACCCCTCCTCACCACGTTAGCCTTTGTGAAGGCTCCTCTCTGGCAAAAAAACCCCTCAGACCCATTTTCAGGCATTGTGCACTTGTGATGCAAGCAGGATTTGCTAAACTAATTTCCTCGAGAAAGAAAATAAACCATAAACCTAGTTATGGTGAAAGAATTCAAATTCCACCTGTCTCTAAAAGGACAATGGAGACTTGATTATGATGAAAAAACTTTTGATGGCAATACTGTTTTCTCTTTTGTGTACTGAAGAATAGAGAAGAAACGTGCTGTCGTCCCAGAACTGGCAGAAGCTGTCAAAACACGAGATGGAAGAGAAGTGAACTGGGAATACTTCTATCAGCTGCTGTTTACCGTGGAAAATTTAAAACTTGTACATATTGCCTGCCATAAGAAAACCAACCACAATCTCAGCTGTGACAAAACTAAAATTTACAGAGAAAGGAAGCAAACCCACAAGATTTCATAGTGCTATCTCTGGAATTGACTCCTGCTTTTTTCAAAATCATGTCACATGGTATTTTTAAATAGCTCTAGTTTCTTAAACAAAAACTTATTTAAGAGTCCCTGGCAAAAGAGACTTGCTAAGTAATTCAATGGCAGTCTCACAAAGCGTACAGTCATATCACGGCTAATTCTACTCTCCCGCCTTCTCACTTACTACAAAGCCTTCCTTAGACCACACTCTGTTAAGTGCGATAAAATGCAGCTGTGAGTCAGAGTACAAAAATGAGGCCGGAGGCTGACACTGGTTACATCCTACTACCTCTTTCTTACCATGACAAATGTAGGCCCAAAACTCACAGTACACAGAAATGAAACTTAGACAAAGCATTTCTTAACAACTAATCTGAGTGGATTTGTAGAGTCCTATTTCTGTGAACTCTGAGCCAAACACAGAATACTTTAGGATAATTACTTTGCTCTGTGCCTTTTCCAGGTAGACGACCACTGCTTTTCAGATATACCAGAGGGCGATGCAGTGACAGAGCTGCTGGCTCTTCTGCACTAAACTAACCTGCACTCATCCACGGCCACTGCATTCTCTGCTGCTTTAGACACGCATCTCCTAGAAGCACGAGCAAAGCCGTACCCTGTAACCTGCACTCATCCACGGCCACTGCATTTGCTGCTGCTTTAGACACACATCTCCTAGAAGCATGAGCAAAGCCGTGCCCTATCTTTGCTTTTACCACCTTTGTTCTTTGCCAGCTTTCCCGCTGATTTCCCTCTGCTTTCAAACAGTTTCTGGCTCTTTAGCTTGAGTTTGCTTGAAGAAACACAAGTAACATTACTGTATAATAATCATGTTTACCTGCTGCTTTAGAGAATATTGCTTTTGTAAAACAATTCCTACCTCAGGTAACAACATACAAACAGATAAATTTGTACTTTTTTTAATACCAGCTGATAGCAACTGAACTTTTAGTGACTGTTGGTGTAAACTACATGAATTTTTTTAAATAAAAAAAATTACCACCATCTTTCTGTGGGTGTATGTGGAGGCAGAGGTGCACGAGTGGTTAATCAGGTGCAAGACAGCATGGCAAATACAGACTAGAAGGGCTGAGCACAGGGAAACGTGTTTGTGAATGGAGCACCAGCTACTTACTGCTAGGTAAATACCCTCGCTCAGCTCTAGGGAAGAGCTCTGTCTTCCCCCCTGTCGCTGGTCCTCTTTCTGACCTGGGAAAATCCAGCCAGGCCATGAAGAATTGTATTAAGAGAGCATTGCTGTGTGAGCCATAACATACTAGGTATTGGAAATGCAAGCTTTGCTACAGAGAGTACTGATTTAGTTTAAACGCCAAACTCGGTCCCCCTCCCAAACATTTCAATATGAAAAGTAAGTAGGTGCCTTTTAGACAGAGGATTTCTAATACCAGTGCATTGAGTCGATCCTTCCAGATTGCCTTACAGCGTATACGTCAGCGGTAACTACGATAGAAACGCACAGGCTGCGCTGTTTTGACATTGGGGAAGGCATCACAGCCAAGCTTCTGATGACAAACACAATTCATCTGTATGGCACACTTCCTACAAACTGAAAATCACCATTTTGCGCAGGGCTGAACCTAAAACGAGCGTCTGTGCGTGAAGACATATTTGCTAGAAAGAGACGGCAGCAAATATGGCATTTAAGGAAAGCTGGGAGAGCTACTTCAAGATGGAGTTGTGCTGAAAACCATGAATATGCTATTAAAAAATTAGATTTTTCTGTGTTACAGAATTAGAGTGAAAAGGAGCCAAGAAATATAGTTGACAGAAACAATGCATCAGCTGGAGTGGAAATGTGAATAAATTAACATGTCATGCATATACAATTTGTTTGGCTTACAACTTTTGAATGTTTAATAGGCTATAGCTGTAGAAATTAATATTTATTTAAACCATCTGCTGATAACATTTTCTCTGTATTTTTAGAAACGTAGAAGAAACTATTTATAACAATAAAGATCTGGAAGCTTATTGCATAATGACACTTTCAGAGAAGTATTATCATAAACATCGGGTGAGTTAACTGTTCCTAAAATCATCTGAGGTTGCTCATTATTTTCTAAAAGTGCACGCCAAAATAACAAATTCGGTGGACTGACCCATATCCTTAGCAATCAATACTCATTCATCTACCGATCAAGTCTGACACTGAGAGATTTTATTCCTCCTTTATCACCACCAATGTATTTGTTTACAAAATTCCTATTCATAACCCTCGGAAGTCAATTGAAAATACTGCACCAGCTGCATTGCACAACTGTTGAAAAAGGCAGTGCTTGCGGCTGGTCTGGTGGAAGAGGGAAGCAGTCAGCTTCACGTGGTGGTTGTTCGGAGGGCTGACGTGCAATAAAAATGTGCTTAGCTTCCAGAGATTAACACTGAACTGAACTCACGTTGACATCCATGCATTTAGGTTTACCAGCAGAACTGCATTTCCGAGGTTGGTTTGGTTCTGGTTTAGATGTAAACATTGCAACACAGCTTACACACCGGAGGCCGGTGTCCCTCTCTGCACTGGCAGTCGACTGGCTGCGTTACTAACTGGACGCCACCATGGCAGACATTGCAGAACGAAAAGGAAAAGGACCTTGTTCTGACATGGGGCTTTTGGCTATTTTGAAAAAAGGAGTGAGACCAAATGTTCACCCTAGACAGCGGCTCCAAATTATAAAAACCAGTAAGAACCTCTACTTTCCCTGTTTTTTTCCTAAATATTAGTGGTAAAATGATAAATTACAATTCACTTCCAAATCACTGAAAAGTCAGTGAATCTTTGCCCCAGATAACCGTGGGAGAATAGTGTATCTGCCAGTTCCAGAAAAACAAACTACCAGTTCTTCTCTCTCTGAGAAAAGGCAAACACAGACACCTTATGTTAGTGACATAGTGAGCCACCATTATGTGATTGCAAAGAAAAAAATTCCATTTGTTTACAGTTTGTTGCTAGACAACGTCCTCTTCCTCCTCGTCGTCTTCCTTTGCAATGAAATGCAGCTTTCTGAATTCCCTCCTGCTCATCGTTGTGCTGGGGAGCGCAGGTGCCGGGAGATCCTTTAAGAAACAGATAAAATCATGAAGGGCAGCCTGGTGCGGCAAACGGCAGACCTCCCACCTCTCCAGCAGTTCCCACACTTCCACATCCGATACGTGAGGCACCAACACACGCCCCTTCACTTGGAAGCTGTGGCAGAAAGCCGGACCTAAAGCAGAGGAGCTTTGAGGGGAGCCTGCCTGAACCAGACGCGGCTCACGGTCAGAGTGAGGGCTGGCAATCCTTCTGCAGGCTTCAGAAGGATTCAGAGGGTGAAGTGCTCCCCAAATGAATCCTCGCTGCTAAATACCAGCCGTGCCTCCTGCTAAATACCAGTCCTCGGGAAATGCCCAAAAGAAGGTGGCATCGCATGCCCACAGTTACGCAATGTTAAAGGCAGAGCTGGGATTCAAACTGAAATCTCTGGCTCTTGATCCAAAGGCAGAGGTGGCCAGAAATCAGCTTCCATTCCGAAGAATTACTATAATCACAACTAAGAGCCATTCTGACAGAATAACACTGTGTCTTTATGAGTAAAAATATCTATCTTATGGAACTGGAATGATAAAATCGAACCGAGAAATATTTCACATCTGAAATTAACTTGCCTTGGCAATTAATTTCATCTCTGAGACAAATAATTTAATTTAGGGGCCAGGGATATGACTCCGGGTGCCTACCGATAACTGGACGAGTCTGCCCACAATTTTGAGGCTAGCCTAATTTTGTTCGAGGATGCAAGACTGAAGGGGAACAGAGCCCGAGTCTGTGAAGTGAGAACAGACTGTCACCGCTCACCTGTCCAAACGCAGCATCTCCAAAGAACCGCTCCACTGGCATCGGCTGGTTGCTGTCTTCATCCAGGAAAGCACTATTGTCTGCTTGTGTCGGCTTCGTCGGGACATCTCCATCCTCCACGCCAGACCCGTCTGAGAGTGCACTCGCACAGCTGCTCTCCTCTTCGCTGCAGACAGGACTGCACGGATTTTCATCGCTATCCATTTCTGATGGAGCCCCGCTTGGTTTCACTGCACATGGCTCAAGAGAAGCATTATGCTCCTTTTCCTGCTTGTCCTCGTTAGCCTCAGGAATGCTTTCACCCTTTTTCTGTTGAATTACACCACAGCCTCCTGGATCTTCTGAGTGTCGATCGCCATCAGGTGTGTTAGGCGCTTCCCCCAGTGCAGCAAGGTTTTCACTTGCACTTGCAAGTCCTCCTAGTTCGGATTTTACTGGGCTGTTTTTTAGCCTCTTTGAGCATCGTCTGTCAGCCGCTTTGCGTGAAGAACACTGTTAGAAAAACAGAAAGAATGTAAAGCTTACTTGACATCAAGAAAACTAAAATCACCGTATCTCTTTAGTTGCAAGGATGTGGAACCAAAGGGCTCCATCGAGCGAGTAGCACCTTCAGCCAGAGAAAAATAATCAGCAGAAGGTGCACGGGAAAAGCAGCGCAGAGGAGCAGACAGCGTGCGCCAAACCCCAGCGCGCAGCCCCTCTGCACGAAAGAATGTAAAGCTTACTTGACATCAAGAAAACTAAAATCACCGTATCTCTTTAGTTGCAAGGATGTGGAACCAAAGGGCTCCATCGAGCGAGTAGCACCTTCAGCCAGAGAAAAATAATCAGCAGAAGGTGCACGGGAAAAGCAGCGCAGAGGAGCAGACAGCGTGCGCCAAACCCCAGCGCGCAGCCCCTCTGCACCCGCACCCTGGCTCAGCACCGTTTTCACGTGTCCTTGGGGGTGCCGCAGATGGCGGCTAACGCGGCAGAACGAACTGCTCGCTAGCGGCCCAGCGCACCGGCTGACGGCCACCGGCCCTCACGCGGTACCGGAGCCAGCGCCGGCCCGGCACG